AACATTAAGGTAGACTTACACACCAATATTTTGGGTTTGAAAAGAAGACGATAGGGAATAAGATTGAAGTCAAGTGATCTAGATAAAGTAAATTGGGAACTGTGTGTGAGCAACAGACATCCCGTGAAGTTTTATGGAGGTAAATTTGAGGCAGAAAAGGAAGTGCTACTCCATACCATGGGCTAGTCAACTTGTTTATCTTGTGTGTGAGGATCAAGGATCAAGTAAGATGTGAATATGAAGGCACTGGTGTAAAACTGCTGATTTGATGGTCCTGGAGAAAGCTTGATACCACAGTCAGTACTTGCAGGACCTGGGGTGAAGAGGGAAGATGTGGGGTGAGCAGTAAGGAGAAGTTGTTCTAGGAAAAGAAATTCCATGAAGCTCTAGAGACCTAGAATTGGGGGTATTTAGAAGAGTATAAAGAAATGATGTGGGAGGAACTAAGTGGGTATTAGAGGAATTTGAGTGGTGGTAGGAGACCCACACCAGTATCACAGAAGAGGGAATGAACAGCTAATGCAGAGATGCATGCAACCAGTATAAAACTGGAGGGTGCTGGTTGGGCACTAAGAGTTGCTTGGGGATGAAACTGCAGGAAGGAATTTGAAATGATAGAATTGAAAGATGGCTGGTCTAGGTTTTGGAGAGCTCAGTTTTAATCTTGGCCCCTGAGACCACTTCATTTTGATCATTTTGGACCTGTTAGAGCTATGAAATGAAGGGCCTAGAGTATTATCCCTAAATCCCTTTAAGCCCTTGATACTAAGCTTTTTACTAAGAGAATATTTTCATTACTGACTGAAAATGCAAACATAATTTTTAAGGTTGACTAAAGTCATGGAAGACCAGACCACAGTTAACCAACTGTGAATTCAATTGTTTTGCGTATCTCTAACTTCGAAGACGTGAAGGAAGGTATCCTGCCCTTCCATCATAGGTTCTTTGTCAGATGATCTAACGCTGGCATGTGGGCAGACTACAAGCCTCATCTAATTTGATGTTTGTAATGCTTGAAGGGACACTGAGTTTCAAGCCTTTTTCTTTATGCTTCCCTACTAATTGACCCACAGTAATGCAGTTTCCACTACTCTGTTCTCTTAGAGCCTTGCTACTCAAGGTGTCGTCCATATACCAGCAGCAGCAGCATCACCTGGGAGCTAGTTAGAAATGCAGAATCTCACACTCCATCCAGACCTACTGAGTCAAAATCTGCATTTTAATATGATTGCTACGTGATTTGTATGCACAATAAATCTTGAGAAGCTCTGTTCCTGTCGCTGTGGTTCTCAAACTCTAACAAGTAACACAATCTCCAGAAGGGCTTGTAAAAATAAACTGCCTGGGAGTTTCTGATTCAGTAGATCTGGAATAGGGCCCAAGAATTTGCATTTCTAACTACCAAAGTTTTTATTAGAGACTCCTTGACTTTAATCACATTCTGTTTCTGATTATTTCATCTTCCTAGTAAGACTAATTTCTTGTGTAGTGTTTCTTTGGGGTAGGGCAGGTTTATTGAGATACAATTCACATAGTATGCAGTTTACCTATTTGAAGTGTACAATGCAGTGGCTTTTAGTGTATTCACAGATCTGTGCAACCATTAACACGTCCATTTTAAAACATGTCAGCTCAGAAAGAAGCAAATAGGTGGAACACAGAGGATATTTACAGCAGTGAAACTATCCCTTATTCCACAGGCTACTGTGATGGTGGATACATGTCAAAATGTATAGAATGTATAACACCAAGAGTGAATCCTAAACATAAACTATGGGCTGAGGGTAGTAATGATCAATGTATGTTCACTTATTGTAACAGATGTACCCTTCTGGTGCAGATGTTGATAATGGGGGAGGCTGTGCATGTGTGTGGCAGGGGGTATGTGGGTAAAGAAACCCACATCCTTTAACTATCACCTCATATCCCCATATCCCACCAAACCCTAAGCAACCAATTATCGTCTCATATTTCTTGTGCATGACACAAGTACTTGGCAGGTTGCTAGATGTCTTATTAATAATTAATGATAATAGTTACCATTTACTAAGAGCTCAATACATGCAGGTAATTGCATTACCTAACTTAATCTTCATGACAACTCTGTCAAAGCTGGGGATGTTGAAGCTTAAAACAGGTTAAATGACTTGGAACATGGGCAGTAAATGGTGAAACCGCCATTCTGTCCCAGGTCTCTAACTCCAAAGCTCATGATAGCTATTGTTAATAAACTAAATTTTTGAAGCTATACAATCTCCATAAGAAATTTACTAAGATATTTTAAAATGTAGTGGAAATGCTGAAATTGTTTAGGTATGGTAGTTTGCTCATGAAATTTGTGGCATGTTTCACATTGAATACTAACTATTCTACAATTGTGTATGGTTCTACTTTTTTATACTAATCTTCCATTAAAATTTGTGTTTTGCCTTAGTAATTCCAGTATCAATGAGTTTTGCTTTTATCAGTGCTGAATTTTCTTCAATTGTAGGGAAGATTTTAATCCCTTTATAGCAATAACTCTTCCCTTTTTGAGTATCTTTGTACTTCCTTGAACATTTAAGCTTTTTAAAAATCTCTTAGTTTTTGTAATTTTAAAAGTAACACTGAATATTATATATTGTGTAAAAGAAGGTATTGTATATGTGTCCATATGGAAAATCTAATATGTAAATTTAGAAATGTATAGAAAAGCTACAGAGCAGTATAGTTTGACCTCATGTATAAAACTATACATATTTGAGATATGTATCCATGTATTCATGTGTGTATATATATATATATTCATATATATTAAATATATGTGGATAGTGTCTGGAAAGATATGACAGAAACTCCTAAGTAAGAGTGTGATTGAGAGCCAGGATAAGAGGAGAGGGACTTTATACCTTTCTGTTTTGTTTGAATGTTTTTCCTTTTTAGTTTCTCCAATCTTTTCACACTATCACCTTTGCCTTTGTTTCTCTTTCTTTCTCTTTTTTTTAAAGATTTTATTTATTTATTTGACAGAGAGAGACACAGTGAGAGAGGGAACACAAGCAGGGGGAGTGGGAGAGGGAGAAGCAGGCTTCCCGCGGAGCAGGAGCCCGACGTGGGGCTCGATCCCAGGACCCTGGGACCATGACCTGAGCCGAAGGCAGATGCTTAATGATTGAGCCACCCAGGCTCCCCATCTTTCTCTCTTTTTTAAAATAGCCTGGTGTGTCTCTCTTCACATCTTCAAACTCACATAAATGTACAGATACACATAGGGAACTTTGAGGGGGGGGGGTGGTCACTTTTTTTTTTTAATAAAAATCGGGTTACATTGGGGTGCCTGAGTCAGTGGAGCATGTGACTTTTGGTCTCTGGGTGCTGAGTTCAGGCCCCACATTGGCAATGGAGCTTACCTAAAACAAAAAATAGGGTTACCCTATAAATATCTCTCTGGAACTTGCTTTTCCCACTGTGGACATCTGTTCCTACAGATGGATCTAGTTCTTTCTTTTTAATAGCTATGTACTATGCATATCATAATGTAATGGGCTCCTTATTAGTGAAAGTTGTTGACTTTATTTTTTCTGTAACATGATATTATGACTATCCTTATACATTTTTCTTTGTGCATTTCTTTTTTTAATTGAAGTGTCATTAACATACAATGTTATATTAGTTTCAGGTATATAATATAATTATTCAACATTTCTCTACATTGCTCAGTGCTCATCAAAATAAGTGTACTCTTACTCCCCTTTATTTCACCCATCCCCCTATCCTTGACAACCACCAGTTTTCTGTATTTAGTCTTTTTTTGGGGCGGGGGGGGGGGGGCGCCTGGGTGGCTCAGTCATTAAGCATCTGTCTTTGGCTCAGGTCATGATCGCAGGGTCCTGGGATCGAGTCCCACATTGGGCTCCCTGCTCGGCCGGAAGGCTGCTTCTCCCTCTCTCACTCCCCCTGCTTTGTGTTCCTGCTCTCACTAGCTCTCTCTCTGTCAAATAAATAAAATCTTTAAAAAAAAAAAAAAAGTCTTTGTTTTGTTTTTCTTTTTTTTTTTTAAATTTTGTTCATTTGGGAGTGCCTGGGTGGCTCAGTCGTTAAGCGTCTGCCTTCGGCTCAGGTCATGATCCCAGGGTCCTGGGATCGAGCCCCGCATTGGGCTCCCTGCTCAGCAGGAAGCCTGCTTCTCCCTCTCCCTCTGCCTGCCACTCCCCCTGTTTGTGTTCCCTCTCTCACTGTGTCTCTTTCTGTCAAATAAATAAATAAAATCTTAAAAAAAAAAATGTTCATTTGTTTTGTTTCTTAAATTTTTACATATGAGCGTAATCATATGGTATTTGTCTTTTTCTGATTGACTTATTTTGCTTAGCATAATCCGTCTAGCTCCATCCACATCATTGAAATGGCAAGATTTCATTATTTTTGATGGCTGAGTAATATTCCTGACTATACTGTATATAGTCCTCATCTTCTTTATCCATTCAGCAGTCGATGGACATTAGGGCTCTTTCTGTAATTTGGCTATTGTTGATAATGCTGCTATAGACATTAAATTCTGATTGCTGAGACTAGGACTTAAGGTACAATTTTAAATAACAATGTGAGTGTTATTGTTAAATAACAATGTGAGAGTGGACGAGTTGAGGGATTTCAAGTGCATTTTCTTTTATGCTACATAAACAATGAAGTAATAACTCATAAGAGATTGGGAAGGAAAGTTTCAGGTGTGAAGGGAGTATTAAAGTTATCGCATAGCAACAGTCTTCTGTGGGATATGGCCCTTATAACAAGGGCCACAATTGTGTCCCCATAAGAAAGTGACTTATTTTCCTTAAAAGAATGTGTTCTGGGTGAATGTGTATAGTTTCAATATTTCCTCAAACAAGAAGAAATAAATTCATTGGAAGACCTTCCCTCTTAAGGAGGTGTGGCCAAACCTATTTATAAGTAGCATTATTAAAATCCTTAGTTATTGGCAAACGAAATGATTACCAGTGTGAAAATTATTATTCATGTCCTAGACAGCTGCTCAGGAAGCAATCCTGCACGCGTCTGCAAGTGGCAAACCTCTACCATCTAAGGACTACTGTATGCTATATAACCCTCACTGGACAGCCCTTCCAAATACCCTAGAAAATGCAGTAAGTAAACCACAGTTACTATTTATTTATAAACATAAAATTATTGAAAGGTGAGAATGAGTGATTATTATGTTTTAGTGTGTGAACTAGTTGTAATATATAATGATCAATAAACAATAACTTTTATTGTTTTGGCTTAAGTATTTTTCTCTCTGTGGGAAAAACAAGTTAGGGAATTTTAAAATACTTACCTGAAAGGCTGGTTGTCATAAACCATTTCTAATTTAAAAGAACCTGGTATTAAACCAATATTGATACTTTGTCACTGAGTGCATTTTTGTGAATTACAATGTTTATTATGTTAAAGACATTTTTTCTTTCCAGACCTCCATCAGTTTGATGAATCTGACTACCACACCACTATGCAATCTTTCTGATATTCCACCTGATGGAATAAAGAGCAAAGCAGTTATAGTACAGTGGGGAACCTGCCATATTCTTGAAAAAGCCAGAATTGCACAAACAGGAGGTGCTGAAGCATTGTTGGTTGCCAATAACAGTGTCCTAGTAAGTTTTAAAACTTAGTACTAACTTTTGAGCTCATGATATATATCACGTTTCACAAGTATTGAACTACCTTTTTGGTGTGTAGTTTAGGGGCTGAGCTTTGAATAATCTGATGGTAGGGTTCTTTCAAAATAAACATTCTGGGGGTGCCTGGGTGGCTCAGTCAGTTAAGCATCTGACTCTTGATCTCAGCTCAGGTCTTGATGTCAGCATTGTGAATTCAAGCTGCACGTTGGGCTCCATGCTGGGCGTGGAGCCTACTTAAAAAAATAATAGTAATAAAAACTTAAAAATAAACATTCTCGCTGTGATAAGCATTTAATTGGAAAACTTTGTAATTTCTTTTCTGTTCCTAAAGTGAATAAGACTTTGTTAGGAACGTGTGTGTGTGTGTGTAAGTTTAATTAAACTTCAGTGTAATACGCATACACACACACACACACATATGTATACCTGTATGTAAGTCAGTTTAAGTTTATGCTAAAAGGATTCCAGTTTGAGAACTCTTACCATAATATCAAGAAAGAACATAGGAAACTTTGTTTTATAATTTTAAAAAAGTTATATTTAAAGGAATAATTTGTATTTTATTCTGTAAATATATTAGTAGCTCATAAGTTGTCATAATGTCTTTTTTTTCTTTTAGTTTCCTCCCTCAGGGAACAAATCTGAATTTCATGATGTGAAAATACTGATTGCATTTATAAGCCGCAAAGATTTTATAGATATGAAGCAGGTAAAATAGTAATTATATACTATACAAAGTTTATATGTAGTACAATTCTTTACTTTTAACCACTGATACTTAATTTAAATTATATATGCTCCATTTGCTATAAAGCTCTAAGAAGCTATAAAGTCCTATCAAGTCTTTGTTTGAGAAGAGTTCCCCTCTCAGTGGGGCACAAGGTGTTTCCAAGCCCTGACTTTAGAAAGGATATTTATTTGGGGCGCCTGGGTGGCTCAGTTGGTTAAGCGACTGCCTTCGGCTCAGGTCATGATCCTGAAGTCCCTGGATCGAGTCCCTGGATCGAGTCCCGCATCGGGCTCCCTGCTCGGCAGGGAGCCTGCTTCTGCCTCTGACCCTCCCCCCTCTCATGTGCTCTCTCTCTCATTCTCTCTGTCTCAAATAAATAAATAAATAAAATCTTTAAAAAAAAAAAAAAAGAAAGGATATTTATTTGTTTTGACTTCTTTAACAGTCTCTGTGTTATATCATTTATCTTACCCTTAAATCCCTGAACAGGTTGTGACTATGTGAAACACCGAACTTTTAAGATTTAATAAACCAAAGCATAGCCTCATAATTCTGACAAGAGAATATATCATGTTGCCAACAATGATTCTAGTGTTCTTGCCTCTATAGTTTCCGTTTCAGAGTGAAATTGGAATATTGCTACCATCCACTGGAAGAGAAAGAAAACTAATTCTGGTTTTTGTTATTTTGTCTTTCAGACTCTTGGAGATAACATTACTGTGAAAATGTATTCTCCATCATGGCCTAACTTTGACTATACTATGGTGGTTATTTTTGTAATTGCTGTGTTCACTGTGGCATTAGGAGGATACTGGAGTGGACTAATTGAATTGTAAGTTTAATTAAACTTCAGTGTTTTTGTGATAAATGGCTAAAAATTATTGTTTGATACTCAGTTTAATCATGTAACAACATTTAAAATTTACCTGACCTCAGAATATAGTGCTATTAAGATCAGATTGCAGGGCGCCTGGGTGGCTCAGTTGGTTAAGCGACTGCCTTCGGCTCGGGTCATGATCCTGGAGTCCCTGGATCGAGTCCCACATCGGGCTCCCTGCTCGGCGGGGAGTCTGCTTCTCCCTCTGACCCTCCTCCCTCTCATGCTCTCTGTCTCTCATTCTCTGTCTCTCATATAAATAAATAAAATCTTTAAAAAATAAAAAAAAAAAAAAAAAAAAAAAAGATCAGATTGCAGGTTTGTCCTCCTGTAGGTCATTTAACTTTTCACTGAGAAGGAAGTTACAGCTTCCTCTAACTCTCCTGCTGGTAGGCGAACATTGAAATTACATCAAAGACTTTTTAAATTGTTTAATTATCTCTCCCAGAAAAGATGAAGATACTTGGTGTCCTTGTGGGCCTATTTATTTGGATTGGAAGAAAATAAGCAAGAAAAGGTGGGGCAGGGGATTTCAGCTCCTCCTGAGAGCAGTCATTACAATGTGACCTCATCATTGTGTTTAATGCTTTAGGAATTCTGAGGCTATGAAGCATGTTCATATTTTAATTTAAATATAGGAATTCCAAATTACATAAAATTCAGATTTCCTGTTTAGTAACAACCTAAAGCGGGTCTTCTTACAGTTATGTACCTTTGGCTCTGGATGAAAGCAGGCAACATTGTTTGAAAGGATCAGTTCATATTTATAACTCTGAATTTAAAAATGTGTGCAGAGCATATTTGATGCATAAAGGACAATATATTCATTTTATGAATCGATCTGTAGGTTTCATTAAAAAGGGCTAATTTGCAACTAAATGAAGTTAAGCTAAATTGTAATTTCTTAAAATAAAATTTGATTGACTCATGTCAAGAGAAAAATCTTAGGATTTAACAAGTGTAGGTTTCTAGAGTATTGAGCTTTAAATATTTTCCATAAATGGAAAATATGTATCAACATATATATCTGTCACATATTTTCATGTAAGAATTGTTTTCATTATTAATCTTTATAAAGCATAGCATGTAAGATCTCCAAGGTCATTTTCTAATTATTTGGTGAAACTTTATAAATAATTTCCCCAGAGCTACTGATTCATTGAAAATGTTTTCCCATTTAATATAGATTCTCACTGTACTTCTGCATATATTATAAATTATTTGTGTAAATTGTTTCTTCTCTAGAGTAGTGCTTTTCAAACTGTAATGTGCATACAAAATGTCTTGAGATCTCATTAAAATAAAAATTTAGATTTAGTAGGCTTGGGATGGGGCCAAGATTCCATGTTTTAAAGAAGCTCCCAAGTGCTTTTGCTGGCCCACAGACCACACTTTGAGTGAGCAAGGCAAGCTTTGTATACATGTCAGGGCAAGCTCCTCCTCAAGAAAATTGGAGATGAGAGAGGAGTACGTATAAACTTTCTTATTCATAAAACATGATGATGGACAAAAACAGAGATTTGTTACCTTCATAGCCAGGTTGGGAGAGAGGGAATGTTTTACCTGCAGGATTATGGCATTTAAAAAATTTTTATTTTAGGGGTGCTTGGGTGGCTCAGTTGGTTAAGCGGCTGCCTTCGGCTCAGGTCATGGTCCCAGGTGGTCCTGGGATCGAGCCCCGCATCGGGCTCCTTGCTCCGCGGGAGGCCTGCTTCTCTCTCTCCCACTCCCCCTGTTTGTGTTCCTTCTCTTGCTGTGTCTCTCTCTGTCAAATAAATAAATAAAATCTTAAAAAAAAAAAAAAGTACATTTATCTCAATGAGCACTAAGTAATGCATTGAATTGTATTGTACACCTAAAACCAATATAACACTATATGTTAACTATATGAGAATTAAAATAAAAAAAATTTTTTTTAAGATTTTATTTATTTATTTGACAGAGAGAGACACAGCGAGAGAGGGAACACAAGCAGGGGGAGTGGGAGAGGGAGAAGCAGGCTTCCCGCTAAGCAGGGAGCCCAATGTGGGGCTCCATCCCAGGACCCTGGGACCATGACCTGAGCCGAAGGCAGACACTTAACGACTGAGCCACCCAGGCACCCCAAGATAAATGTACTCTCAGTCACCTTTATTTTGCCCATCCCTGCAGCTTCCTCCCCTCTGGCAACCACCAATTTGCTCTCTATATTTACAAGCCTGTTCTTTTGTTTTTCTTTTTTTTTTTTTTACTTTGTTCATTTGTTTCTTAAAATTTTATGTAGGTGTGAAATTATATGGTATTTGTCTTTCTCTGACTTATTTCATTTAACATTATACTCTCTAGGTCCATCCATATTGTTGCAAATGGCAATATGTCATTCATTTTTAGGGCTAAGTAATATCCTATCCTATTGTATATATATACACCACTTCTTTATCCATTCATCTATGGATGGAAACTGGGGTTGATTGCTTCCATATCTGGCTAGTGTGAATAATGCTGTAATAGACACTTTTTTTTTTTAAAGATTTTATTTATTTATTTGACAGAGACACAGCGAGAGAGGGAACACAAGCAGGGGGAGTGGGGGAGGGAGAAGCAGGCTACCCACTGAGCAGGGAGCTGGATGCGGGGCTCGATCCCAAGACCCTGAGATCATGACCTGAGCCGAAGGCAGAGGTTTAATGACTGAACCACCCAGGCGCTCCTGTAACAGACACTTAAAATAAGTGTTTTCATTTTCTTTGGGTAAATACCCAGTGGTGGAATTTCTGGATCATATGGTAATTCTATTTTTAATTTTCTTTAAAGATTTTATTTATTTATTTGAGAGCGAGCACAAGAGAGGGAGAGCGCGAGCATGAGCAGGGGTGGGGGGTGGGGTAGGTGCCCTGTGTCAATCCCAGGACACTGAGATCATGACTTGAGCCAAAGGCAGATGCTTAACTAACGGAGCCACCCAGGTGCCACTCTATTTTTGAATTTTTTAAGGAACCTCCATATTATTTTCCCAGTGGTTGCAACAATTTGCATTTCCACCAACACTGCGCAAGTGTTCCTTTTTCTCCACATCCTCTCCAAACTTGATATTTCTTGTCTTTTGATCTAATCCTTCTGTTAGATGTCAGGTAACATTTTGAGTTTATTTTTGTGTATGGTGTGAGAAAATGGCCCAGTTTCATTCTTTTGCACGGAGCTGTTCAGTTTTTCTAGAACCATTTGTTGAGGAGACTTTTTCTCATTGCATATTCTTGTCTCCTTTGTCGAAGATTAATTGACCATATAATTGTGGGTTTATTTCTGGGCTCTCTCTGTGTCCTCTTTTGTGCCAGTACCGTAATGTTTTGATTACTACAGTTTTACAGCATTTCTTCAAATCTAGGATTATGATATCTTCGGTTTTGTTCTTCTTTTTCAAGATTGCTTTGTCTATTCAGGGTCTTTTGTGATTCCATACAAATTTTAGGATTGTTTATTCTAGTTCTGTGGAAAACGTTGGTGCTATTTTGATAGGAATTGCACTAAATCTGTAAATTGCTTTGGGTGGTATGGACATTTTAACAATATTTGTCCTTCCAATCCATGAGCATGGAATATCTTTCCATTTGTTTGTGTTGTCCTCAATTTCTTTTATCGGTGTTTTATAAAGTGTTCAGAGTACAGGTCTTTGACCTTTTCGATTAAGTGCATTCCCAGGTATTTTATTGTTTTTGGTATAATTGTAAGTAGAATTATTTTCTTAATTTCTCTTTCTGCTACTTCATTTTTTTTGAAGATTTAATTTATTGATTTGAGAGACAGAAGATTGCATGGGGAGAAACAGAGAGGGAGAGAGAGGGACAAGCAGACTCCACACTGAGCATAAAGCCTGACGGGAGGCCCAATCTCAGGACCCTGAGATCATGCCTGAGCCAAAACCAAGTGTTGGATGCCTTACTGACTGAGCCATCCAGGCGCCCTTCTGCTACTTCATTATTAGTGTATAGAAATGCAACAGATTTCTGTAAATCGATTTTGTATCCTGTGACCTTACTGAATTCATTTATCAGTTCTAGTAGTTTTTGGTCTTTAAGGTTTTTTATATATAGTATCATGTCTTCTGCAAACAGTGAAAGTTTTACTTCTTCCTTACCAATTTGGATACCTTTTACTACTTTTTCTTGTCTGATTGCTGTGGCTAGGACTTCCAGTACTATGTTGAATAAAAATAGTGAGAGTGGACATCCTTGTCTTGTTCCTGGCCTTAGGGGAAAAGCTCTCAGTTTTTCACCATCGAGTATGGTTATGGCCTTTATTATGTTGAGGTATGTTCCCTCTAAACTTACCTTGCTGAGAGTTTTTATCACGAATCGATGTTGTACTTTGTCAAGTGCTTTTTCTGTGTCTATTGAAATGATCATATGGTTCTTATCCTTTCTCTTATTAATGTGATGTATCATGTTGATTGATTTGCAAATATTAAACCACCCTTGTGTCCTGGAAATAAATCCCACTTGACTGTGGTGAATGATTTTTTAAAATTTATTGTTGGATTTGGTTTGCTAATATTTTGTTGAGGATTTTTGCATCTATGTTCATCAGAGATACTGGCCTATAGTTCTCTTTTTATAGTGTCTTTATCTGGTTTTGGTATCAGGGTTATGTTGGCCTCATAGAGTGAATTTGGAAGCTTTCCTTCCTCTTATGTTTTTTGGAATAGTTTGAGAAGAATAGGTAATAACTCCTCTTTAAGTGTTTGGTAGAATTCGGGGCGCCTGGGTGGCTCAGTCATTGGGTGTCTGCCTTCAGCTCAGGTTGTGATCCCAGGGTCCTGGGATCGAGCCCTGTGTTAGGCTCCCTGCTCAGCAGGAAGCCTGCTTCTCCCTCTCCTACTCCCCCTGATTGTGTTCCCTCTCTCCCTGTCTCTCTCTCTCTGTCAAATAAATAAATAAAATCTTAAAAAAAAAAAATGGTAGAATTCACCTGTGAAGCCT